TCAAACACCTAGGCATGCAGACTGCTTCTACAAACATTTATGAAAGGGGGTCGCTCTCAGGAGCTCAGTGAATTCAAGCGTGGTACCGTGATAGGTTGCCACCTGTGCAATAAGTCCTTCTGTGAAATTTCCTTGCTACTAAATATTTCACGGTCAACTGTTAGTGGTATTATAACAAAGTGGAAGCAAATGGGAAGAACAGCAACTCAGTCATGAAGTGGTAGGCCACTTAAAATGACAGAAGTCGCCAACTGTCTGCAGAATCAATAGCTAAAGACCTCCAAACTACGTGTGGCCTTCAGATTAGCACAACAACAGTGCATAGACAGCTTCATGAAATGGGGTTCCATGGCCGAGCAGCTGCATTCAAGCCTTGTATCACCAAGTGCAATGCAAAACATTGGCTGCAGTGGTGTGAAGTACGCTACAACTGGACTCTAGAGCAGTGGAGATGTGTTTTCTGGAGTGACGAATCACGCTTCTCTGGCAATCCAATGGACATGTCTGGGTTTGACGATTGCATGGAGAACGGTACCTGCCTGACTGCATTGTGCCAAGTGTAAAGTTTGGTGGAGGGGGATTATGGTGTGGGGTTGCTCTTCAGGGGTTGGGCCTGGCCCCTTAGTTCCAGTAAAGGGAACTCTTAAGGTATCAGCATACCAAGACATTTTTGACAATTTCTTGTTCCAAACTTTGTGGGAACAGTTTGGGGATGGCCCCTTCCTGTTCCAACATGACTGTGCACCAGTGCACAAAGCAAGGTCCATAAAGACATGAATGAGCGAGTTTGGGGTGGAGGAACTTGACTGGCCTGCACAGAGTCCTGACCTCAACCCGATAGGATACCTTTAGGATGAATTAGAGTGGAGACTGCGAGCCAGGCCTTATAGTCTGATATCAGTGCCTGTCCTCACAAATGCACTTCAGGAAGAATGGTCAAACATTCCCATAGACACACTCCTAAACCTTGTGGACAACCTTCCCAGAAGAGTTGAAGCTGTTATAGCTGCAAAGGGTGGGCCAACTCAATATTGAACCCTATGGACTGGGCTGCCATTAAAGTTCATGTGAGTGTATAGGCAGGCATCCCAATACTTTGGGCAATATAGTGTATATAATACACAAAACACACACACACATATATATATATATATATATATATATATATATATATATATACACACACACATATTTCCTATGTGCCCAGACTTTTGGGACACCCTGTAGATCACCAAATTGGAAATAAATATTCATAAAATGGTAAATTTATAGTCATTTTATTTAGCTTTATTCAAATGGAAATAAATGGTATATAACAGTTTAGATCTCAGTAAACAGATTTTAGTACACGTGTACACTTCATATTTTCAAATCATTGCATATTCATTACTGGTTTTAGCCCTTGGTGGCCTGGCCACCCATTGGAACTAACCACAACACCCACACTAACTCCACTGTTATTAAAATACAAATTCCCAATAGTATATTTATAAAGAATATCCCTAGAGGAAGTGCATCATTTTACAGAATGGAAAATAAATGAACCAACTTTACTAGGCAGAAAATGTTACATTTTTGTGGATTCAGTGTTTTGCATATATTTTCTTTATAAATAATGAAATAAAAATATTTGTTTCTCTTTTTAGTCTGGTAAATATGAAATATATATATATATATATATATATATATATATATATATATATATAATATTTACTTCTTGTATCCAGAAAGCAGCAAACTTAAGACCACTGCTCAAAGTTTCTCACCAATTGGACCTACTGCTATATTATGGGGTGTATTGATAAAAGAAATGCATAGTGTTTTGCCCAAGAAAAGTACATGTACATTTTTTTTTTGTGTGTGAATGGGGGAAAAAAAGAGAAAATGTTATTAGGCTAGTTCCTGTACTGTATGAATGTTTTTCATTGATTTAAAACTGAAAATATCATATTTGGTCACTAGATGGTGCTACGTATTATAGAATATGTATCTAATGGCCAAAAACGGTATTTTAAATCAATGAAAAACATTCATCCAGCATAGGAAAAAAAGCCTAAAAATATTGGTTGTTGGATCCAACTTGTGCAGCACATTTGCACAAGCATTTTAACTGGGTGTAATGCTATGCAAATGTTTAATAAACACATCCCTATGTCTTCTGAATAAGGCTGATTACCAGAAGATCAAATTAGCCACACAGCTTAATGAATCAAAGAAGAAATATACTCCCTCTCATACCCTCTCCTAGTAGAGAATGGACCCATCTGGATTTAAATCTGGAGAAGCCAGCTAATGCTAAATAAATGCTGTTTATTTTATTTATGCATTTGCCTAAGATTTAAATAATTATTGTTTAAACTGAACTTATTCTGGTCTATTCAGGGTTTCACAGAATGGGAATTTGATTGCTTCCTCCTGCCTCTAGAAGAAGCTTCCAGAAAATAAGGAGGAAGAGTCAAATGATCAGCCTGAATATTTATCACGGCCTGGCCAATTCCTGGAGAGGAGTGTCCAGCAGGTGACTGGGGAGATGATAAATAGCCTGAAGACCTGGAGAGATTATTCCTTCTCCCCAGAAGGGTTCTAAAGCCTGAGGGGCTGCTGCCCTTAGGTAGCCTATGGACTGTGTAGCTGTTCTTGAGGCCTCGGAGGTGTCAGAGCTGATGGCTTGGATGGATCTATTGAGAAGCTGGATGTACCAAAAGAAGCTGGTCTTCACCAAAGAGGGATCTGGTCTGTGGAATGATTGTTTCCCCCACTTGTCTGTGTCCAGAGAAAGCTGAAAGGAGGCAGTTGTCCTGGAGATGTGCGAGTAAAGACCCTGAATTGATCCCTGGTGACTGTGTGCTTTTGAAATATACAGTAGGTGCCAGAGGTAGCTTAGGCAGCTCTCATAGGGTCTCATAGTACTGGCAGTTCCCTTGTACCCGGCAATATCCTGGTGTGTGTCTAGAGGAAAGTGCCCTCTGTTACTGTGCAGTGTTCTGGAGAATGAACTGGGTACCAACAGTTGTGCAGTGACTCAAGCTAACCAAATGACAAGGGAACTTGCCTCATGGATCACAGCTGTGAGGCCTTAGACCAGGGGTGTCAAACTGGTGGCCCTTTAGTTGTTGCAAAACTACAAGTCCCAAAATACCTCTGCCTTTGGGAGTCATGCTTGTAACTGTCAATCTTGCAGTGCCTCATGGGACTTGCAGTTTGGCAACAGCTGGAGGGCCGCCAGTTTGACCCCTGTGCCATAGACTGTTCAATGTTCACAAAAAACATATAGAGAATATTGTCCTCTCATAGACATTTGCTAAATTGCTTTTGGAGCATCACATGCCCTAACCCCTCTCCTGTTTAAAGTTCTTCAAGCAATCAAATATCAAGAAAGACATTCCCTGGACTGAGTTATTGAAACTGGAGTGTATGGACTGATGCTTGAGGTGGTGGCTAGCCTCTGTACTTTTGGGGAAAAAACAGCTATTACCAAAGGCCCCTGCGGTGGTAGCTCTACATAAGTATGCAATCTCAAACCTGATAGGCACCTGGGAAATTTGAAAAAATCACTTGGGTTCTGGGTTTCCCTTCTGCACACTGGCCACAGGTTGTCACTGGCTCAAGACTACTGCCATTTATAGAACACCTTGTATTTCGTTCAATATATGCAAAGCTTTCTCTATTTGGACAGGATGAAGAGATAGAGTTGATGAGACAAATTCAACTATGGATGTTCATGGTTTAGCAGGAAGGTTAGGGAGACAAACACAAAAGGAAAAAGAAATGGAAAAAGAAAAAAGGGAATTCATACACTTGTTAATGTTTTATTGCCCATGTAATTTTATTAGTGGAATTTCTACTGAACACTAATCTACAAAGTATCCCTGATATTCACTGTTAGGAAGCTTGCTTGGATCAGGAGGAAAGTAATGCTTTATCCGGTACAATATATGAACTTTGAAAAAAAAATAATGTTCTGTGCTAATCCTATATAATGGAAACAACCAAATAATATCAATCCAATCAAACCAAGGACTGTGTCAACACATCATACTGTACAGGGTCGGACTGACCATTTGGAAACTCAGGCAGTGCCTGAGGGCCCGGGGTCAGTAGGGGTCCCATGATATGCTCCTGGTACCTTTTTCATAGGCTTTTTTGAGTTTGGGCAAGGACACAGGGGCCCCATGATCCCCTATTGCCCGGGGGCCCCATGAGTTGTCAGTCTGCCCTTGATACTGTATATAGTAAAACGCCGAAGTGGGATGGAAAGAAAAAGTGGAAACTCCCAACTGGGCAATAATGAAAACCTAAATCTGTGAAAGTGCTGCACTATTCATATGTATATGATGCAAACAAAGAAAAAAGAATATAGCACACAAGTGAATAAATAAATGTGAAATGACATAAAACCATAAACGTGAAAATGTAACAGCAAAAACGTGATCACAAATGCATCAAAAAACACATAGGAAAAAAACCATCGATGATGAGCAATAGAGTGAGTGAATTACAACAAAAGAAAAAACTGCAAAAATGACATATACTGGCATATAAAGAAGGACAAAATCTGCCACAAAAAACTAACAAAAGTGAAGAGTCCAAAATATCTCTGTCAAAGTTCCAATGATATGATTCTGTGCACAACTTTTATAGATGACAGATATGGTGATCAACTTAACAAGTATATTCACCACTGGCTAGCATGCCCACTCACCTCCACGCTGTGACCCCTAAGGGCCAAAACACATGAAGCAAGCGCTCAGCGGAGTGGTCTAAATCCTGTTAGGGCTTTTAGCAGTAATCCGGAAACCGTTAGCACTAGTGGTGGTATTTTCAGTATCTGGTTATATAGTTAGGTACTAGCAGCCAGTCCTGGGTCTTGGGTTTTTTTTTCCTGTGGGGGTGTTAGAGGCAGCGCAGGAGGCTCTTTTTGTTTAATATATGAGCTTTAGTTTCAGAATAGAGGAATCACACTGTATTTCATGTCTGATAGCTCATGTGTCTTTCTCCAGGTATGGTTTGGTCAGATGTGAAACGTCTCTGGTATGATGGTCTGGAAGATTTCCTGGAAGAATCTCGGAACCAGCTCAGCTTTGTGATGAATTCCTTGTACCTGGCAACCTTTACTCTGAAAATTGTGGCTCACAGTAAAGTGAGTTGTATTCATGAATGTTTTTTTTTTAATACGGGCTCTGACTAGCAATCCAGCAAGTATTATATTGAAAAGGGCTAATTCTTCTAAGGATCATACAACCTGATGTTACATGCATCATGACAGAAGATGACAGCTTCACTTTTTTAAGGAAACTATAATGATTTTGGGTTAATCTGCCTTTTTCTTTAATTGTGTACACTGTAAACGTTTCTTTTATATCTGATTTCTTTATTATATATAAGGTCTTTGTTCATAACATTATAAGGGAGCACAGTAGTTGTCTCTTTTCGGGTAGACTGTCCCTCGTTCTAACCTCCTACAGAGCAGTTCAGAGGCAGGTGAAAAGACGAGCCACTACTCCATTTCCGTTTGAGCTATTGAGCTTTCCAAACAATAGGCTGTTTACAACCAGAAATGAGGTGAAGCTGAAAATAATGTGAAAAGGCACATAACGCTTCACTTGCTAGCTGGATACAGGAATATAAATTAATATATTTCATATTTACCTTTTTTTCATTTATTTTTATATTATTTTGTTTAGCCTTGACCATAGTAAATTAGTACAAATCAACTATAAATTCCCTTTAATTACTGCCTTAGGAATGATGAGAGCTAAATAAGATTCTGCAGCTTTAACACAAGTATTTCTTAGCACACTCTTAGATTTTTCATACAGAATCTGTGTGGGCGAAGAGGACAAAGTCTTCCTCCAGTGTGTACTGCTTCACTTTTCAGTTGCACCTGGGAGAAAATCACAGTGAGTCAGCTGTACGAGGGACAAATGTCTGGTCAGCTTGTGCTATTGATGATATATCAGCTTGTCTGGGGCCAAGAGAATGAGTGTAAGGTTTGGTTTACACCTATGCATTTTGCATTGTGCTTTGCGTCATTACACATGCGTTTCTTCAATCAGCCCTACAGCCAGTTCTTGTTCCTGAATATTCTTACGAGTGGGAATGAGAACAGAAAACCATGCAATCTGTACTGACTGGCCTTCATAGTGGCCACACATACTTTGATTTTATTAACTGATTGATGTGCAATCAAATCTGCAAACAATCAAATAGCCATAACTTCCCTTCTGATTGATTTTGACTTGATTTATACTGGATTCGTTCAAACTGAATCAGTCAGTCATGGTGGAAAATTATCGATCATTTTGCATCAATTGGCAGCACTGAATCATGTTCATTAATAAAGTCATACTTCGATTGGTCAGAATATAATATTATATGATACAAACAGAGATGCAATCGATATTTTCGATTACAAGTTACAGTCGTATTTTAACTATTGACTGAAATCCACTTAACAAATGTGGCATATCGTTTGAATGGGATGTCAACTATAAACTGATTGTTCCTTTTGGAAGAGATTGATTGGAAAGGATATCGATCATTTATTGAAGTGTGTATGGCCACCATTCATCTCCTTCAGGATTGCAGGGTCCAAGCGATTCAATATATAGTCAGAGATGTCAACCTTGGGGAATCATTTACAGAATGACAGGAAAGTAGCATGTGTTGCAGAAAAAAATGGGAGTGGCTAAATTGTTTAAGGAGAGTGTCCTAAAAAGGAGATTTATAAATGCACACAATAAAAAGTTAGATATTAAGCAGATATATGGAAGGAAGTTGTGCAGTGCTGTTAGAAAATAAGAACAGATACCAAGAATCATTTTTAGGGTGCAGAAATAATAACATATGCTAAGAACTACACTCAGCATAAAGAAAAACAGAAGCGGTACTGTCAGGGGTGGACTGACCATTTGGAAACTCGGGCACTGCCCGAGGGCCCAGGGTCAGTAGGGGCCCCATGAGATGCCCCTGGTACCTTTTTCATAGGCTTTTTTGAGTTTGGGCAAGGACTCAGGGGCCCCATGATCCCCTATTGCCCAGGGGCCCCATGAGTTGTTAGTCCGCCCCTGGGTACTGTGCATCATCGATACAAACAGTATCAGAACAGATAGTGAGAATTACATTCAGCATACATTAGGACATACGTAGATGACACAGTGCTGGCTCACATTTATGCACAAAGTAATAAAACAGACTGGGGGGATCTGTTTATGATAAAGGGTTATGGTGTGAGGTTATGTGATATTTGATTTGTTATGTCATATTGGAAGTGCTTCACCAGTATTTGATTTTGATTTATTACACAGTGGAGTGATTGCACATTTGGGTGGTAGCTGTTTTCCTGATTCAATTTACTTAGAGTGTTACTAAACCACAACAGTAAAATCAGTCTGTATATGCAGTAAAGCATGCTTGCTATACTCACAGTGGAACCTAAGGGGTTAATACTCTGCATTGTGTAAAAAGGCTGTTTGATCTTGACTTCTCTGATCCTCCCCTTCTTTCAATACCCCCCTCTTATCTCCTGATAAGACAAACTGATCCCATAGCCCTTCTGCATATGCTCACTTTAGTGTGTATTGCTAGAGAGGTTTTTTTTCTTGGGAGAGTGCATGTGATCAGCACAGGGCCAATCAGCAGTGTCCAGGCAGAGGTCAGAGGTTCTGCATCCTCCTAGAGCAGAAAGAAAACTTCTCCTACAAGCTTTAACCAGTGCTCTGCTGAACACTGATAGAAGTCACAAGACTGCTCTAACTGCTGATGAGAAAAGGTATTTAGCAGTTTATGTTTACTAAAATAATTTCATTTCCATGCAGTGTGTACTGTGGGAGACCAGATAGAGTGAATGCAGGGTCCTGGGTTTTAGTAACACTTTAATTTGACTTATTTATTTATTTTTAGTTGTGAGTACTAATAGTTTTTTTTTTTTTTTTTTTTTTATTTAATTAAACAGACTTACTGTATATTTAGTGAGTATGACAAAATATGTAGCTATGGAATGTCTGTATGTAAAGGTTGTCAGTCCCTGGTTAGTCCCTGCATTTTAGGGTGAGATAACATATTACAAAGCTTTATTGTACGATATATAATTCACTAACCAGTTCACATTTCTCTTTTTTAGTTTCACCACATTGCAGAAAGGAAGGACTGGGACGCTTTCCATCCAACTCTAGTGGCTGAGGGCCTGTTTGCTTTTGGCAATGTGCTGAGTACCTACGTTTGTTCTTCATGTACACAACTAGTTCAATCCTGGGCCCACTGCAGGTAAAATGACTGCTGTCCTAGTCACCTGAAGGTCATTGTTTCTGTACTGAAAAAAAAACAATAATAATACAAACACATGGTGGCAGTAATGGGTCATGCATTTTCCGATTGCATGCTGACTGCTTTTGCTTGTTTTCTACTTGAGTTTCTAATTCTGGGCAAAATTCAAATAAAAACACATGCACTACATATATCTGCAATGCATGAAAATTCCCTATATTTTATAACTTTAAAGACCATATAACTGCAGAAATATACCTGTTTATCTGCCAGAAATGCATTCAGCTTTATAATTCTTCTTGTGGACAACACTTGCCTTTTTATGGACTGAAATCACAAGAAATAGTGTCATCCCTTCCCAGTCATCTTTTGGTAAACTACTGAATCCCTCCTCCTCCCCCAACTACACGACAGAGGGGAAAATTGCTCTGTAGTCCATGATAAACACTGGGAGGGCTAATTAGACTCCTGCAGATAACTGTGCTTGTGACTGATGGAGCTTTGGCTTCAGCAGACCAGGAAAAAAAATAAGGGTCCTTTCAGGTCCATTTTTTAATTGGGACAAGTCTGCATTTATATTCCGTTAAAAAAGGGAACAGACGAAAAACAGATGTAAACGGACACATGGTTCATTTTTCCATCTGTTTTTGCATTGGTAGTGGATGTGAAAAACTGATGTAAAAACAGATGTAAAGACTAAAGTAAAAACTGCATAACTGATGAAAAGCTGATCCATTTTTTCTTTGAAATAACAGAACGTCCGTGTGAAAGGGGCCTAAGTGTAGTGGTGTATTATTTTCCACCTAGAAAAAATAAGCATTTAACCCTAGCAGTGCTCTGATCGAATCACCAGCTTCAGTCACTTTCCGTCTTGTGGGGTATCCTCAATAGGATTCCTGGATTTATTCAATTAAAGAGTAAAAGATAAGGGCACCACAAATAATGGCAAGTGCAATAAGATTGTGTTAATGTTTGTAAAAAAAAAATCAGAAGACAAAGCCAACGTGTTTTGGGGGTTCCGAACCACCCCTTCATCAAAGCTAAAAAACGGAATAACATAAAATGGTATAAATAGGAGGATCTACAGACTGCAAACAAATAACACATTATAAAAAAATTAAGATTTTATGTAAAACCCCAATAAGGAACTACCTATCAAATTATGATATGTGAGCTGACCTGGGGGCATAAAGCAATGTTATCTTTTTCTGTGAACTTCTAATCTCCTCATTCCCAATGTATGGAGATGAACAAATATACATGTTTGTAGCCCAGCTTAGGAGACAACCTACAATATATAAGTAGATACAGGGGAGGAGTGAGCATGGACATCCAGTGAAAGTGAAGGGGAAAAAACTGAAAAAAAGAAAACAAATGAATCCACCTCATATAGACTGTAAAGCCACAATAGATTAGGGCTAATTCACAATGCACTGGTGTGAACCAGGCATACAGGAGATAAAGTATTTTGCTGCCCAACACAGTCCCTCCACACCTGGTGTTAATAGATCCTAAAGAATTGTTTTTGGGGGTTTAGCCATTTTATGCCACGGCATTAAGCCACCCATAGCTGCAATTGTTTCCAGTTTTCCGTGACTACAGTAATAAAGAATAAGTTCACCTTTAAAAAAATAAACATATGAACATTTTTTTGCAGGTTATTTTTTTATGAGAAGCCTGTAAAGCATTGAACCCACGATCAGTAGATGGCAGTTGCATTTAGGGGCTCATGCAGACTGTCAGTGTAAGCTATCTGCTCATACCTCATACAGGCAGGCAGTTACACACTGGCAGGAAGCATCAATGAACTACCTAGACCGCTCAACAGCATCCTGGTAGTTCATTGAGAAGTACAAGCCAACAGCCGCAAAGGCTGTCCATACTTTTAGCTCATTCATTCACAGATTTTGGCCGTGTGCTGCATGGCTGTGCTCTTTTCAAATAGTGTCAGCAAGTACGGGAAGAAGATCCCAAACCTGCTGTCACTGGGATTACGGGGATTGGGGAGCGGCTGCAGGAGCAGGAACATGTTACATGCTCCCCCCTAGAAAAGGATGGAACATGTAACATGTTCCCAAAGGTGAACTTATCCTTTAAATTTAGCGTTAGAAAATTGAATACAACTTAGTATGGAAATGGAAATGGAAATGCTATTTGATTGGTATTCTCATCTAAAATGTTTCTGCGATTGTTCAAATTGCGCACAACCAGAAACAGCAACTGATCATCCTGACATAAGGGGCGGACTGACCATTTGGAAACTCGGGCACTGCCCGAGGGCCCAGGGTCAGTAGGGGGCCCCATGAGATACCCCTGGTACCTTTTTCATAGGCTTTTTTGAGTTTGGGCAAGGACACATGGGCCCCATGATTCCCTATTGTCTGGGGGCCCCATGAGTTGTCATTCTGCCCCTGCCTGACATTGTACAAATCAAGTAAATTGGTTGCAAAATAGATGTTCTTACAAACTGTTCACAATAATGCCAACAGTCTGTCTTCATATACTGTAAGTATAAAATATGGCAGACCACATTCAGGTACCTCTAAGGTACAAAGGATGGCCATTCTTTCAATGTTGAATGTGGATGTGCTTCTCTTCCCAGCTGCATTCTCCTATAATATCACAGAATGCAATGCTGAGCAGTTCAAGCTCAGTTTGAATTCCACATAACGGGATGGTTCATCTGCAAGGCTTTGTGCGGTAGGTAAAATTTATAACAAATAGCTGCATGTAAGTATACCATGCAAGCATCTACCTATGCTCCTATGCTCTGTATCAGAGGTCTCCAAACTGCAGCCCGAGGGCTATATGTGGCCCTTTGCTAGCCTATATCCAGCCCTTGGGACACTATTCCTCCCAGTGATATGAGGCACCATTCCTTCTACAGACACCAACAATGGTGCACCTTTTTCTCCACTGATTAGGTACTATTCTTCCCACTAAATACCAATGATCGGGCACTACTTCTCCTCCTACTGACCACAAACCCCGAGGCCATGTTTATTCTCATTGATGCTGGTCCCAGGACATTTTCTACTCCCACCTGCCACAATCTGGCCCCCCTAAACATCTGAAGGACAGAAAACTGGCCCTCTGTTTGAAAAGTTTGGAGACCCCTGCTCTATAGTAATGGGCAAAAACCAGGTTGGCAGCCCCTCAGAATTATAGCAGATCAACTAAACTTGTCATTGAAGAAAATGTCCCTTTAGGATCAAATCATTAAAAATGCATTACAGTGTACCAAGTACCAGTGACCTACTCCTTGTTTTAGCAATGACATCAATGCAGGTAGTGTAGTACCTTCCAACAGTACACATTTAATGCTATACAGTGAACTTGAACTAACCTGATTATCCCAGCAGGCTTTTCCTATGTCACAGGGCACACTTTTTTACATATAGTTCCAGGTCAGTTGCTGGTGAGGTATGAGCAAGCACCTTGACGGAGAAAACAATGGCTACTACCTGCTGGGGCCTGGTGCCCACTAATTAAGGGGCTGCAGACTGGGCACCAAGGCATTGGAATATAGGTCCACTTTAACAAGATTATTCAGCTGTACAGAAACGTGGACTAGTAACAGTCGTACATAATCTCAAAAATATGTTCTAGATATAAAATAACACTAGTTTCTGTGCAAACAGAGGACATTCTTATCAGTAACCATTATAAAGAGGTTACATGCAGGCATTTAAAACCACTTTAACCCCTCTTTGAGAAATTCCTTTTTTTGTGCATTGGTCTCAGTATAGTAGATTATTTTCCTTATTCACTGAGTATTTATGTCTGTCTCTCACAGTTAGACTATTCAGTGACAAACACTGTCCCTTACATGGCAAGCACTGACCAGTATACTGCAGCAGTTTATGTATTTAGAATTTTCTGCACCAAGGACTCAAAGTGCACTCGCTAGGATCTATTTATACATATGTGTGGGCATTATTGTTTACAGGTATATGAATCACTTTATGTTCCATCATTTACACAATTTAAGTAAAAGAGTTAAATAATGAATGAGGGTCATGACAACATAGATAACCTTTAAATATGGTATTGCTTGAAAAACTACATGATTATAAAATAGACTATCCGAAAAAAAGAGGAAATTGAAAGTAAATTGTGAGTAGATTTATTATAAGGTATATCAAAGACCTATAAGCAGAAAATATAAATGACATTGTATATTAAAGTAGAAATATAGCTAAACCTATTTTTTTCCATTTTGGATAGGGGGAGGGAGGGAGAAAATCTCTACAAAATAAGGGAATTCCTTGGGGATCCCCAGGTCACCAGAACTAGTATCCCCATTTGAAAATTTCTCCTCTATTACTTCTCTGGGGTCACACCAAAATTTGGGGTTTCCTTTACATTCACTTTCGATTTTAATGGTACACAGGACAAATAGAGAGGGTGAATCTCCCTAACAGGGGCACAGATCGCAATAAACATGTAACAGGTGTTTTAATCCATCTCCACTGTGTCCAAAACGGAAAACTGGATTCTCCGCCTTTCCATAATTTTCCTTTCCTGGTGCATAAACTGGGTTGTGGCTTCGCCCCCACAACCTGATAGGACTGTTTAACTATAAGCTTTCAGCTAAGCCCCAGCACAGCATTCTCTGTAACTATCACTTCATGATGGGAATCTGTATGCCGCTATGAAGATGCACCAGGCAACATACATTGAGAAATAACTCATCAGTCTGGTGGGTGCAAGAAAAAAACCCATCAAATTTATTAACCGGAAGCAGCCTGGCACGTTTGGATAATGGATCTGACAAACTCTACTGTCCTGAGCTGAGCCAGATCCACACCGTAGTGCGAAATGAACACATTCCTAGATGACCATGTTGACGCTTTGCAGATTGTTTCTGATAGACTCTGCAATTCGCTGCCCAGGAGGTTGCCAGTGCTCTTATGGATTGTGCCCTAAAGCCCTCCAAAGTTGGACACTGTAGTATTGAGTAGGCTTTCTTTATGATCTTGATCAACCAAGAGGATACGGTGCTCAAGGATGCTACTTGCCCCCTTCTGGCCCTGTGGGGGATTAATAAAAGGTTATCCGCTTTTCTGAATGGTACAGTGAATGTCAGGTATGCCTTTATGTTTAGTGAATGCAGTTTTCCTTGATCATTGAGAAAGGATGGCAAAAAGATCTCCTTATTGAAGTGGAAGGTGGTAGCTACCTTCAGAATAAACCGTTCTGACAGTTTTAGGATTATTCTGTCTGAATAGAATATGAGGTGAGACTCTTAACAAGATCTTGAAATTTCAGATACTCGCTTTGCTGCGGCTATGGCAATGAGTAAACACACCTTGATAATTCTTCCAGGACTACTGACAGATTCCAAGCAGAGAATAGCAGTTTTATGGGTGGCCCGATTTTTAGACATGCTTTCATGAATTGGATGACTAGGAGATTTGTGTCCCATTTAATTCCTGTAATGGCTAATAGGGCTGACAACTGGACTTTTAAGGTACTTGAATTCAGGCCCTTGTCGAGCTCCATTTGCAACAATTCCAGAACTTGGGCCGCTTCTGGGAAAACCGGATTCTGGGACTGAGAGGAAGCTCTGTCATATTTTTTGATATGCTGTGTTTGTGGAGCTTTTCTGCCCTGGAGAAAGGTTGCCACCACCTGGTTAGAGCATGTGGACTCTTTGAACATTTTCCTTTCAGTTTCCAGGCCATCAGGTGCAGCCTCTTTGGAGCTGGGTGCTGAAACTGCTCCTGGGACAGAAGATACTACAAGAGCTGTCAGATTTTCCATGCTGAGTTGCTGCAGCGTCATGAACCATGGCCTCTTTGGCCAAAATGGAATTACTGCTATGACTGTGTTTGAGGACCTCATAATTAGGGGAATTGAAGGGAATATATAACTCGGGCTGAATCTCAAAGGGTGGCGAAGGCAGTCTATGCCCTCTGCCGAGGGACACAGAGTTCTTGACAGAAACCTTGAACATTTGGTGTTCACTGGAGTTGCTGCCAAAAAAAAAAAGATTTGCTTTTAGTTCTACTTTAGGCTTAGGTTCACACCATGCTGTACAGACTGCGTTTACATGGGCACGGCAGCCCATTCATTTGAATCGGCTGCCGTGCTTCGCAAAATGCAGGGACAAGGCCCCTGCACCTTTCCAGAAATCGCAGCCTGCACAGGAACCACACTACAATGCAGTTTCCAGTGCGGGTGTGATTCCCAATGCGGGCGGTGTGCCACATTTTGGATGCAGGTGGTTGCAGCTGTGGGACAAGGTGCAGGTCCTGCATTGGCTTCCACTTGCACACATGTGAACCGAGACTTAATCTTTCTACCCGGCCAGGGTTGAAATACACTAGCTTGTAAGATCATAAAAGATTTTTAGCAAAAGTTTCTAAAGTTTGATTTTCAGTATTTATACTTGAATTTTGTTTTATTTTTTTGCGTATTAGAAGGTGAACTTGTTTGATATGTAGTTTTGTGTTAATAATAGGCATGGATGACTGCAGAACGTTCAGCATAGTTTATACTATAGACCAGGGGTCTCCAAACTTTCTAAACAAAGGGCCAGTTTACTGTCCCTCAGACTTTAGGGGTGCCGCACTGTGGCCAGTGGAAGTAGAAAATGCCCTGGTGTCTGTGGAAATAAGCAATGATCCATGACTGGTATTAGGGGAAGTAATAGTGCCCCATAGTTTGTATCACTGGGAGGAATAGTGCACAATCATTTGTGTCAATGAGAGAAAATGTGCCCCATCGTTGTCAATGGGAGGAATAGTACCCCATCATTGTTGGCAGTGGGGGGCATAGTGCACCATCAATAGCGTCAGTGGGAGGAATGGTGCTCCATCATTAGTGTCAGTGGGAGGAATAGTGCTCCACCATTGGTGCCAGTGGGAGGAATAGTGCCCCATCATTTGTGTCAGTGGGAGGAATAATGCCCTATCATTGGTGTCAATGAGAGGAATAATGCCCCATCATTGGTATCACTGGGAGGAAAAGTGCCCCATTATTGGTGTCAGTGGCAGGAGCTATGCCTCACTGTTGCTGACAGTGGGGGGAATAATGCTCAAAGGGCCAGAAAAGAGCAAGCAAATGGCCACATCCAGCCCCCGGACCGTAGTTTGGAGACTACTGCTATAGACAATTCTATCTGTAATCCAAGAAAAAGGAGAGGAGAGCAATGAACTCATCTGTACTCACAGCCACCAGAGCAGGAATGTCTGTACAGCACATCATCTTTTGTCTTCCTGCTGTAACCTCAGCTCCATGTAATGATTGCTGGATTTATTCTCTGATACCACTTCAATTCATAATAATTTATCTGGCTGCAATTGGCAGGCAACATAAGCTATGAATGTTTTCCGTCTATTGACAGTAAATTGTTCTTTAGAGGAGTTCTATAGTCACACCATACACTTTCATTTTATGACATCAGCATTTTAATAACAATACAAACAATAGTTATATTTGACAATCCATTATAAATTGAAAACTTTTCTTTCATGAGAGTTCTGCCTGTCTGCTGGCCATTTCTTTCCACATCTTCCTGGATTCCCTGCATGCTTTGTAGTTTCTCCTCTGCTGTTTACTTTCAATTTATATGGACTACATATCCCATGGTACCTTGCTGCCTAAGCAGTGATTCCTATCCTGACTCTGCCTCCTGAAACTCCTCCTCTCATCACCTCTGTAGTTCATAAGGCAGGCTCTGTGGAGTGTGGGACACAGCAGTGCCTCCCCACAGGGCATAGTGAAAACGTGTCACAGAATTCAAGTAAATGTGTGCTGTGCATGTATGTTTACTGATAAAATTGCTCATATTGCTATCAATGTTCGTTCAGGTTATTCTTAGCTACATACTAGTACTAAAGTCTCTACTTCAGGGTTTCCTATTGCATAGTCAGGTCACGTGTACCACAACCACATGACCTATATCTACCTATCAAGTACAACCTGCACTAACAAAAGCTCATTTTTTTTTTCTTTTGATGTTAGAGTGCAGCTAATTTCTCTAATGTAGGAGCCTCTGTGTGTTGTTTACCACACACATGCCTCAACTAATCTTTGTTTTTATTAGTATCTCCTAATGCAGTTCTGGGAGATATTTTATTCACATACCCACAGATTTATGTTCCACGGGGAGTAAGTTCTGAATTTAGCCATTTTCCCACTATAAATTTGCAAGAGAAGTCCGGGGGTTGTATACTCAGGAAGACAATACTATTGGCCTTGTATTTTCATATAACATGCACAACTGCTCACCCAAGCCTTGACCCTGATCTACATTATGACATGTCCCTCCAATGGATATAAATTGTCTTTAATAATACAGGTTCCATGGTTAGTTTGATGAAGTCAGTAATCTAATTTTTAGTAAAGAGATAAGTTGGCAACCCTGGTACCACCAAGGGTATAATATGTCTTCAGAAATTACATGTATTGATTAGTAATAAGAGTTTGATTGGAGGAGGATTTTCTTTCTGTTTTGTTCTAATTATTTTTCTCTGGAAGAAATTCTGCTTCACATATGCTTATAAGCCTTTTCAGATGAACTTTAATTTCCTTGAGGATTAGGTAGACAGGCAGGCAATTGTACTAAAGCTTATCTTTGCTGTCTCTTGTTACATTTCTTATGATTAATCCTGGCACATTCTATTTAATATGTAGATATCCATGGGTCAAATGTTACAAGACTTTGGCAAGTTCTTGGGAATGTTCCTCCTTGTGCTGTTTTCCTTCACTATTGGTCTAACCCAGCTATATGATAAAGGATATACAACCAATGAATCAAAGGACTGTGTTGGAATCTTCTGTGAGCGACAGAGCAATGACACTTTCCACTCGTAAGTTCCTTTGCAGATTTTTACAAGGTTTTCTGCCATAGTTACAGTATATGAATTTCAGTGATATAAACTGCAACAAACAAAAAGAGCTATTTACAACTAGTTTTCTGAACTAGACCAACACAAATGGACTCGAAAATACATAAATACATATCACTAATAGAAAACACATATGCACCTATTTACAATATACTTTATTGATGTTGTGAATAGCCTTAACCCACAAAACCATGGAATATGATGGCAGTCCTTATTTACCTCCTCTGGCTACTGGTGTTTGAATAAGTGATATCACCTAGTGAAACCAAAGTAGGGTTTGAAGAGTCCCTAATGGGTGGAACCTGGGTTCCAACAACGGATGGGCCATTGAAGCCTATGGGTGACATTGCTGCTCCAGGATTAAAGTGATATTAAAGGCAATTTTTAAATAATGTTATATGTACCTGCTTTGTGCAGTGGTTTTCCACAGAGCAGACCTGATCCTCCTCTTCTTGGGTCCCCTTCCAACGCTTCCGGATCCTCTTCCCTGCTGAGTGCCCCTAGAGCAAGCAGATTTTTATGGGGCCACCCAAGGTGGCTCACTCCCAAGCTGATGCTCCACAAGTCCATTCACACACTGAGCAGCTGCTCGGCCCTGCCCCCTCTCTCTCCTCATTGGCTCACTGGTTGCGATGGGGCTCAGATAAGTATTGTGGGGCTGCGGGGCTGCTGCACACAGAAGTTTTTTTACCTTCATACATAGAATGCATGAAGGTAAAAAACCTTGAGCCTTTACAACCACTTTAACAAGCTGTTGTCGGAGTGCTCTCTCCTCCCCCTTACAGCTGCCTCTGGCTGCTACAGAGAAGATCATGTAACCAGAACAGAGCAATCTGATAATAGGTAAGTATATATACATCTTTCTTGCACAGTTTAGTTAGCATAGTTGTGGGGGGAGGCAGTGTGAAGGATAGTTAGAGTTAAGCTAGAATTCCACCTTAATAATAATAAATCACGATCCTCACTACCAGTTAAAGACTGGAAACAGAAATCCTTCTCTTACGATCTGAAAATCAAATTAATAATATGTATGTGTAAAACCTGTGAAAGAAACAAATGCAAAGCAAGAGTCCCATAAAAAGATAAGTGGGTTGATTTACTGAAGGAGTTCACATTATTGGTTATTCTGGGTGAACAGTTAAAATTTATTGAGTGGAGCTTCTCAACTCCCTTTAATACTACCCAAGTCAGTCCCAGTGCAAGAACAAGACAATGTGCCTTCTGTCCTATGGCTTCAGTTCAATTGAGCCAAAAGAAGAGAACATGTTTCATATGTGTGCCGTGTGTGAAAAAAAAAATGTGTGTCAACAATACTTTGCAGCGCATCATGCGTTTATAAACAAGTCTTAAAGCAGAACTAAACCTAACTTGTACTAGATGGGTAAAAGTTGACGCCATCCCCCCCGCAGGCCAATCAAGTGGCCAAAAACTTGGAAGTTGTACAAGCTAGGACTTAGCCCTTGGGTGGTTCAGTGGATATGCAGCTGGCTAAAGGATAGATGCCAGAGTGTGGTTGTAGATGGGTTCACTCAGAACAGATATCAGTCACTAGTGGTGTACCACAAGGCTCTGTACTAGGTCCTGTTCTATTTAATCTATATGTAAGTGATATAACTAACGTTTTTTTTGGGTAAGGTATGTATTTTTGCTGATGACACAAAGGTGTGTAATAGGGTTGATATCCCTGGAGGTGTCTGTAACATAAAACATGATTTGGCATTGCTGGAAGATTGGTCAAAAAAGTGGAAATTGCAGTTCAATGTTTCTAAATGTAAAAAATGCACCTAAGGAAAAATAATCCCTTGAGAAAGTACAACATTCGGGGGTATAGTGTTGGTCAGCACTTCAGAGGAAAAAGGACTTGGGGGTACATAATTCAGATGATTGCAACATGAGTAAACTGTGTGGCCACGCAGTGGGGAAAGCGAATAGAATTCTAGGATGCATCATTAGAGGGGTCACCAGCAGGAGGAAGGAGGTCCTGATTCCTCTATACAGATCTTTAGTTAGACCTCATTTAGAATACTGTGTCCAGGTCTGGAGATCTCACTTACACAAAGATATTGATAAGATAGAAAGGGTCCAGAGACGGGTAACAAAAATGGTGAATGGGCCGGGGGATAAAACATACCAAGAGCAACTTCAGGAACTTAGCATGTGCAGTCTAGAGGAAAGAAGGGAAAGGGGAGACATGATTGAAACCTTTAAATACATCAAGGGGGTAAATAAGATTCAGGAGGGCAATATTTCCACCTCAAAACCAAAATCAACACGGCGATATGACCTAACTGGAGAAAGTTCAAAACTAATCTCAGAAAGTAGTATTTTACTGAAAGAGTAGTTGATGCTTGGAATAAACTTCCAGCACAGGTAGTGAGCCAGTCAACAGTAAATAGCTTCAAACACGATTATATTCAGACAACAGAAGTTAACAGACAACCCCTAATCCCCTCCCCTCAATCCCCCCCCCCCCAAAAAAAAAACACCCCCTCCCAAAAAAAAAAAAAGAAACCACAAAAAAAAAAAAAGGGCAGACTTGATGAACCACTTGGTCTTTTCTGCCATCACTTTTCTATGTTTCTCAAGTTGCCTGGGAAGAAAATGACAGTGGCCAGCAAGCGATGTAACCGCCGCATTGCTGGAAGGTGAAGGTAAGTATTAACGGGAGTTTAGATCCACTGTAAGAGTTGCAATTAAATCTTCTATAAGATATCTCCATAGGGAATATATTTGCATTGTGAGATGGATTAGTAAAGCACTCCAGAGCAGGAAGCAGATCTTGTGTATGTAATTAGCAAATACGGTTGCTCTCATGTACATTAAATTTACAAACTAAACACAGAAGCAATGTTTTTTTGTACACACACACTGAACATTATTTACAACAAGCTGATCTCTTTTATATGAATATCTAAAATAAACAATATAGGGGAAGACTGTCATGGGCAAAGTAAGCCCTACATATTAAACTGCAAGATAAGATGCTTCATTAGGGAGAATTATTTAAATTATTTAAGGAGAACTGTATATAAGGAGATGATGGGAGGGTGGCGGTTCTGTTGTCCTGGGAAGATGTCATATGACATCCTCCCACTCTAGCTGTGCAAGTGCGCCCCTGGGGGCGTGCAGCGATCGGTGGAGCGCTGTGTCCCAGGGACACAGCAGATCACCAGTCGCAGTAAAGAGCCGATGACATAGGCTCTGTCATGTGATCAGCTGTGTCCAATCACAGCTGATTGCATGTAAATAGGCAATGCTGGTTTTTGACAGTCCTCTCCTCACTCTGACAGCGCGTGAGGAGCGGAGAGCCGGTAACCAGCACTCCTGAGAGGGGACATCTACACTGATCATCAGGGCACTGATCATCTGTGCCTTGATGATCACTGTAGCCCCATCAGTGCTGCCTTTCAGTGCCCATAATTACCACCTGTAATTATATTATCAATGCCACATACCAGTGCCCATCAGTGCACAACAATGCCACATATCAGTGCTCATCAGTGCACATCAATGCCACGTATCAGTGCATATCAGAGCTGCCTTTCAGTGCTGCCTATAAGTGCCAGTCAGTGCTGCATATCAGTGACTGTCAGTGATGCCTATCAGTGCCGCCAATCGGTGTGTCAGTCAGTGCCGCTTATCAGTGCCAGTTAGTGTTGTCTATCAGTGCCCCTCAGTGCTGCCTATCAGTGCCCGTCAGTGTTGCCTAACAGTTCCAATCAGTGCTGCCTATCAGTGCCATATATGAGAGCTGCCTATCAGTGCCCATCAGTGATGCCTGTCAATGCCCACCAGTGATGCCTATCAGTGTTCATCAGTGCAGCCTTTCAGTGCCCATCACTACAGCCTCATTAGTGCACATCAGTAAAGGAGAAAAAATACTTATTTACAAAATATTATAACAGAAACTAAGAAAAAACTTTTTTTTTTCAAAATTTTCAGTCTTTTTTAGTTTGTTTAGCAAAAAATAAATAACCCAGTGGTGATTACATACACCAAAAGAAAGCTCTATCTGTCAAAAAAAAAAAGATAAAAATTTTGTTTGGGTACAGTGTTCCATGACCACACAATTGTCAACATGCGACAGCACTGAAAGCTGAAAAATTGGCCTGGGCAGAAAGTGGATAAAAGTGTCTGGTAGGCAAGGGGTTAAACCCTTTTTTTTTTTTCTTTTGATGTACCACTGGGGTAATTTCTCTTGATTTTCTTGGAGATACATCAGGAAGTGAGAGGAAATATCTCCAATAAATCCCTCAAAGCCAATTGTCACTAGAACAAGTATTCCTATTGGAAGATTTCCCCTCACCTCCTATTCTGATGACAGCTGTAAAATGATGGACCTTTTGTATTGGTGACAGTAGCCACCAGTACAAACAGAGAAAGTGAATCTTCTTAGTGGGGACACAGACAGCAAAAAAAAAACAGAACATGGAATGCAAAAATATCCAAGCAAGACTAAAGCCGTATCAGAATTCACAGTAACAGTTAATTTTATTTTATTAATGTCTGAAAAACAGTTGAAAAACAAACAAACTACACAATGGAAAAAAAAAACTGACATAATTATATAGTTAGTCAGGTTGAAATAGACAGAAGTTCATCTACTTACTGTAGTTCAATAAATAACCATGACATGAATTTTAACTCTTTCTGTTACCCAATCAATTTTTGCACAAGTTGTCATGGATGAGCACCGTTTTCCAGTGGGCAAATGCAGACCGAACTGCTTCTCCTTAAGATGCCTACTTGCGCAATATTTCAGTTTTGACTGCAGGCATTGCTGTAGTGCTCTAGTCTACCAAACGCTCTTTTGTTGATAAAATGTTTATCTGAGAGTCTATGGTTGTGATGCAGGAGACAAATTTCCAAGCAAACCCACTGCAGTTCCTTGCTGCACTGCGAAAGCCTGATTTAAAAATATCCATTTCTCAGAGCCAACAATAATATTCCTAGTAATAGAAGTAGAGAAGGTTAATTGAGTGAACATTCTGACTTCACCAGAGTTTCAGTGTTTGTTGGATAGCATTAATGTGTTTCTAAACCTAAAAACAAATATTTTATATATTGCTGCTTATCAGTGCTTATATGATGATGGCTGAATCTTTGAAAACCATTCTTCCCGCCTGGTCTAAAGTTATTCAAAGGGTGTAAAGCACATTGGGGTATGAAGACAGCTCTGCAAGAGTTAACATAGTACAGAATTAAAGCAAGTAGTTGCCAAGGGTAAAGGAGGTCTAGTAACCAGCTCAAGCAGTCTGTTGTGAAGTGTGGTATCTGTGTCAGGCAGGGCATACTCCGGTAGTCAGGGGGGTTGTCTTTGGAAGTTCTTTCCACAACAGTCCATCTCCCATAGCAGTGGAAGCAGATCAGCATCATGGAGGCCCTCAACCTAGCCACCAGATACAGGAGAGTATGAAGACAAAGTGCACGCATGAGGTTCTCACTAGGTGCACGGCGGGACCCCATTCTGTCACTGGGAGTGAAGTACACTAGGCGGGTAGAGTGGGCATAGGCTCAGTGTGTCTCTCTTAAATGCAAACACCTACAGTCAAGGTGTGCATTGACACAGGACCAGAGAGGTAGCTGGAGTCCAGTTTGAGCATTCTGCGTACACAGTGTATGGCCTAGATTTAGGACCATCTTATGGTTGATTTTACCTGAAAGTGCTCAGGGGCATTGATGAGCACTACATAACTAAGGTACCCCATGTGCAAGGTGAGTAACCCTGTCCATAGTGCCTAGCGTAGCCCAGAAGAACCCACACTGGGGGTAGTCCTCTTATGTAACCCTACACTTGACATTCAAGGAGGAAGGCCCACTCACCTGTCGCCTGGCCCTTACAAACTGTATTTATGCAAATACATTTGTCATCCGAGTCTTCTCCCCTGATTTGGACTACATGTCTCTTTTCATCTCCATTACATGATTACATGAAGGCGGGGCTTATAGTTTATGAATAAATCTAATGCAGTCACATATCAAATAACTGTTTAGCACTACCTGCAGAGGAGATGCTGGATTGTTTTGTCATTTTTTCGCACACCTGAAGATGATACACCCCGGTCACCCAGCACTGACCAACACACTTTTGAGCTATTTCAAAGAATTTTAAGCCAAGTATAACCTAAAAAAAGAGAGGCTTAGCAAGTGTACTTGTAGGCAGGTGCAGTCTACGTTCTCCACTGCAGGTGCTGCTCTTCAGGAATAGCAATGCAGCTGGAGGAAGTTAAGAGAAACTGAGTTTCTCTATGGTTCCCTCAGTTCCCTGGGGCAGCGTTCAGATTAATTATGCTGGACCCAGGTGACCTTGGTGCCATCTTGGGTCACACAGAGTCTTTTTAACTCCATGCCCCCGGGGTTTCAGTGCGCATTTTGTGAGTAAACTAGTGTAGAGACAGAGCTCCCATTTGTCAGGGACAGCACTAACATTGGGGAGAGGTTTCAGAGGAGGAGGAAAAGCTTAGGGCTTAAGTCTGCATCTGAGCAAGCTCCTTCTTGGGTTGGACCAACCAGGCCACAACCCACTCCCCTAATCACTGTTGATTTTTCTACAATACGACATTTGCTAACATGCTAACGATACTCTAAGAGATATAGTTAAACACCTGCAGTATTCTGAATAAGAGTAATTACCAGAACTGAAGCTGGAGGCACAACAGAGCTCTCTTTTCCAGCAGCCAGTTCACTGACCCTTTGCTCTGTAGCTTCGCAATCACTCGATCCAGACCCAACCAAGATGGCTGCCCCCTGCACCAGAGACACTCCATATCTGAGTATTGCAAAGTGGTCTCCTGAAAGATGACTGCTGCACATCTGCATTAATGAATTTTCAGTTTAACCCTGTCCACACTGCAGAAGGGTAATACAGCAGCAACAAAGGAAGACGTTCCACAGCAGTTTTCAACTGCAGTCCAGGTTACAACCAGTAAGCTGAAATATATCAAATCTGCTGCCTGTAATTTTTCTTATACTACACTAATTTCACTTTCTGACCCTGCTGCATAACAAACGATTGCATTTTAATAGCAGAGTTATATAAACATGTTTAGTTTGAGCATACTGTACCAAGGTGCTATAAAGTTTACAGAACAGTGAGCTGTTTTAATTGTCTGTCCGTACTTAATGCATACAATCTATACCATGGTTCTCTTTGATTCTTATAAAACCTGTGAGTAAATACCTGTACATAAAATGTTGTTACTTTTATTTATCTCTGTTACTAATGAAGGCACTGTACATTTTTTTTTGTCTCTTATTGCAGGTTTATTGGGACATGCTATGCTCTGTTCTGGTACATCTTCTCACTGGCACATGTAGCGCTCTTTGTAACCAGATTCAGTTACAATGAGGAACTTCAGTCATTTGTGGGAGCACTGATTATTGGAACCTACAATGTGGTGGTGGTGATTGTACTTACCAAGCTTCTGGTGGCCATGCTGCACAAAAGCTTCCAACTTATAGCTGTAAGTTGTAGAAATGTCTTTGCATCAATGATAACTTTAGAAAGATTTTTCAGGTTAACTGTACCCATAAGACTCTTATTTCCATGGGAGAACCCATGCAAGGGTTCATATTTCTGGAGTATTGCCCAATGGCTCTGTAAAGCATAATAGCCTATTCTAGCTAATGAAAACCTAATGATGATCCTTCCATTGGTGCAGTGAGGGAAAAAATTACAATCAATCCTAAACAATGGTCATAGCCAATCCTCCGAGTTCCATGGACCCAGTTAAACTTGTTACATTTCCTACCCCCATCCCTAGTAACTGGGGTCCATAGTTGTAACCAACAATTTAATAATGGTTTTGATGTTATTTACAAAAGAGTTTGGGGAAGGGATTATGTGTGTTCACAAACAAGGATCAGAAGAAGTGGTGCAGTTTTCATTTAATCCAAAAAAGGTTTATAATTTTACATAATTTACTCAAGCAGCATTCAGATTTTATTATACATTTAGTGTTTAGTGTAATTTTACATCTTTAAGTTTGCTTAGTAATGTTGTTCTTTTGTGATGTTAAGTCAATAAACCGATAGTAGAGAGTTGCATAAAAATCTTACTATTTAGAGAAAAAAAGTGTCAAAAAGCAGTCAGTTTTGATACAATGACAGCTGCTAGAGCCATTTGAAAGTAACCTGGCCAGTAGACAGCTGGATGGATATTCACCAAGTGCATAATCCATTAAATGATCCCTCTGTACTTTCTCTATCTGTATAGCAATTCCATACAAGGGAATGGACAGCTTGGAAAATCACATCTGATTTTATCTTCTTAAAAAACAGATGAGAAACAGAAACCCAACACTGTACAGTAATACTTTATAGAAATTATAAAGGCACCAAGTTGTGGTTGAGAAAGGCACTACGTTGTAGTTTTCCATGTCAGGAGAACACATTTTTGTATTTGTTCATTTAAAAACAACGAGATAACTCAGCTTAACTTATCCATCAGTTTAACATATATATGATGCTGAAACTTTTTTTTTTCTCATTTTGGATAAAGTTGGCAAAGATTAAAACCCCTATCTTTTTTGCCAGTTTTCTCCTATTGACCTGTAGACACAAAAAAGGAGTGAGAGGAGATCTTTCCAAAGTGAGGGAAATGCACTCTTGTACAGGTGTCCCCATTACAAGATTATCCATCTTTTGTAATTCTGGTAACAGAAAGGTTTCAATATCCTGTCAATCTTCTTACTGTGAACCTGTAAGCTCTTTTAGCCCAAGGGCATCAAAAAATAACTTCTATTACCATTATTAGTATGAAAACTGTTTTGGGGGGCCTTCCCTAATTAAGTTTATGACTGCTGGCTGACTTTATTTGACAATATGGCTAAATCCTGCCAATGGCCATTCCCTTGTCCAGTGAGCGCACCTGAGTGGCCAACAAAGACGCTCTAACTAGACAGAAGTATGGCAATAGATGGAGCTTAGCAGCCATGAATTAAGCAAAAGTCACGTCATAGCCAGTACCTTTAGCAGAACCATGGTTCCTTTCTTCCTTGCATACTTACTGATAAGTGCTGCTTTTTCCACAGCTCGGAAAACTTAGATTTGTGTATACTTGGATTAAACCATCTGTGCCGGTGCCATATTGAAGAAAATACATAGTAATGTGTCTGCACCTAATTTTAACATTTAATAAACATATTTTTAAGTTAATGCACTAGGCTGGTGCCCCTTCTGTTTGATTTTCTCTATTCAGTATATTTGGACTCCCCCGGTCCTTTGAGGGCAGCAAGGTGTGCATATCCCAAGAATTTCGTTAAGTGGTCCTAATGACATTGATTCCATCCCTAAGCGCAGGAGTATCTGGGTTTTCCACTTCACCATAGCAATGTGTCACCCTGGTTTGATCATATTTAGGGCGCCTGACAAGGATCTGTGCTGTACTACCTGCCATAGAAAGTTTCACTGCTGTCATTAGTTTATTTCATGTTGTCTTCTCTCATGGCTGTATACAGCTGCATTTATACAATGTTATAATAAGCTGCTCTAAAATCAACAAGCAGATGATCCCATGCTCATAGGGCTTTTTAAGTATCTGTCTTTGGATATCTGATCTATTATTGACCCTTCAGTCCTAAGCCTAATTTTTTTTTTCCTAGCATCTTTTTCTTTTTCACATATGGTTTAGACTATATGATCTTCCTATTAGATACATTTTTAGAAGCAGAGCTTAGCTGGGATATTCCTTTGTAGCTTCCACAATCCAGCGGGTCACCTTACCTAACTAATGGGCATAGAGTACTTGTATTTCATTCTAAGGGAAGATATATTTTTCTTTCAACCATGGGAGCATGGATGTTTTCACTTCCAGCTTTTTATGAGTTCAAACTCTATACTGTCTTTTCTGAGTATCTCTAAATTTTTCCATAAGTATTCACAGCACTTAACTTTTGCCACATTTTGTTATGGTACAGCCTTATTCCAAAATGGATTAAATTCATTTTTTTCCCTCAACATTCTATAAACAATAACCCATGACAACATGAAAGAATTTCTTTGTGAAATCTTTGCAATTTATTAAAAACAAAAAACGGAAAAAAACACATGTACATAGGTATTCAGCTCCTTTGCCATGTCACTCAAAATTGAGCTCTGTTGCATACTGTTCCCACTGACAACCTTGCATGTTTCCACAACTTGATTAGAGTCCACCTGTGGGAAATTCAGTTGATTGGACATTATTAGGAAAGGCATAAACCTGTCTATATAAGGTCCCACAGTTAACAGTGCATGTTAGAGCACAAACCAAATCATGAAGTCCAAGGAATTGTCCGTCGACCTCCAAGACAGGATTGTATTAAGGCACAGATCTGGGGAGGGGTACAGACAAAATTCTGCAGCATTGAAGGTCCCAATGAGCACAGTGGCCTCTATCATCCGTAAATGGAAGAAGTTTGGAACCACCAGGAATCTTCCTAGTTCTGGCAGCACGGCCAAAATGTACGATCGATGGGGTCTTAGCCAGGAGGTAACCAAGCACCCGATGGTCACTCTGAAAGAGCTCCAGTGTTTTTCTGTGGAGAGAGGAGAACCTTCTAGAATAACAACCATCTCTGCAGCACTCCAGCAATCAGGCCTATATGGTAGAGTGGTCAGATGGAAGCTACTCCTCAGTAAAAAGGCAAATGGCAGCCTTACTGGAGTTTGCCAAAAGGCACCTGAGGGACTCTCAGACCATGAGAAACAAAACTCTATGGTTTGATGAAACTAAGATTGAACTCATTTGGCCTGAATGCCAAGCGTCATGTCTGGAGGAAACCAGGCACTGCTCACCACCTGGGCCAATACCATCCCTACAGTAAGCATGATGGGCAGCATCATGATGTGGGGATGTGTTTCAGTGGCAGGGACTGGGAAGACTAGTCAGGATCAAAGGAAAGATGAATGCAGCAATGCACAGAGACATCCTTGATGAAAATCTGTTCCAGAGCGCTCTGGACCTTAGACTGGGGGTGACGGTTCAACTTTCAACAGGACAACGACCCTAAGCCCACAAAACAAAGGAGTGGCTACGGGCCAACTTTGTGAATTTCCTGGAGTGGCCCAGCCAGAGCCCAGACTTGAACCCGAAGGAATATCTCTGGAGAGATGAAAATAGCTGTGCACCTACAGTATGCTCCCCATTCAACTGATGGAGCTTGAGAGGTACAATTGGGAGAAGCTGCCCAAAAATATGGGGCCAAGCTGGTAGCATCATACTCAAAATGACTTGATGCTGTAATTGGTGCAAAAGGTGCTTCAACAAAGTATTGAGCAAAGGGGATGAATACTATATGTACATGTGTTTGAATTTTCGTTTTTATTTTTAATATATTGGGATTTCAAAATGAATTACTTTCATGTTGGGGATGAATTACTATATGGGGAATTAAACTATGGGGGATTAATTACTATGCTTACTATGGGGGAATATTACTATATAATGGATGACACATACACATCATTCATCTACTCTTGGTCCGGCCCCGGGTCCAATAGAACCCATTGCGGCCCTCAAAGTCAAAAAGTTTGCCCACCCCTGGTTTAGACTATATGATCTTCCTATTAGATACATTTTTAGAAGCAGAGCTTAGCTGGGATATTCCTTTGTAGCTTCCACAATCCAGCGGGTCACCTTACCTAACTAATGAGCATAAAGAGTACTTGTATTTCATTCTAAGGGAAGATATTTTCTCTTCATACCATGGGAGCATGGATGTTTTCACTTCCAGCTTTTATGAGTTCAAACTCTAATACTGTCTCTGAGTATCTCTAAATTTTTCCATAAGAATTCACAGCACTTAACCCACATTTTGTTATGGTACAGCCTTATTCCAAAATGGATTAAATTCATTTTTTTCCCTCAACATTCTATAAAACAATAACCCATGACAACATGAAAGAATTTCTTTGTGAGAAATCTTTGCAATTTATTAAAAACAAAAAACGGAAAAAAAACATGTACCAGGTATTCAGCTCCTTTGCCAGTTCAAAATTGAGCTCTGTTGCATACTGTTCCCACTGATCAACCTTGAGATGTTTCCACAACTTGATTCGTCCACCTGTGGGAAATTCAGTTGATTGGACATTATTAGGAAAGGCATAAACCTGTCTATATAAGCCCACAGTTAACAGTGCATGTTAGAGCACAAACCAAATCATGAAGTCCAAGGAATTGTCCGTCGACCTCCAGACAGGATTGTATTAAGGCACAGATCTGGGGAGGGGTACAGACAAAATTCTGCAGCATTGAAGGTCCCAATGAGCACAGTGGCCTCTATCATCCGTAAATGGAAGAAGTTTGGAACCACCAGGAATCTTCCTAGTTCTGGCAGCACGGCCCAAAATTACGATCGAGGGGTCTTAGCCAGGAGGTAACCAAGCACCCGATGGTCACTCTGAAAGAGCTCCAGTGTTTTTCTGTGGAGAGAGGAGAACCTTCTAGAATAACAACCATCTCTGCAGCACTCCAGCAATCAGGCCTATATGGTAGAGTGGTCAGATGGAAGCTACTCCTCAGTAAAAAGGCAAATGGCAGCCCACCTGGAGTTTGCCAAAAGGCACCTGAGGGACTCTCAGACCATGAGAAACAAAACTCTATGGTTTGATGAAACTAAGATTGAACTCTTTGGCCTGAATGCCAAGCGTCATGTCTGGAGGAAACCAGGCACTGCTCACCACCTGGCCAATACCATCCCTACAGTGAAGCATGATGGTGGCAGCATCATGATGTGGGGATGTGTTTCAGTGGCAGGGACTGGGAGACTAGTCAGGATCAAAGGAAAGATGAATGCAGCAATGCACAGAGACATCCTTGATGAAAATCTGTTCCAGAGCGCTCTGGACCTTAGACTGGGGTGACGGTTCAACTTTCAACAGGACAACGACCCTAAGCCCACAAAACAAAGGAGTGGCTACGGGCCAACTTTGTGAATTTCCTGGAGTGGCCCAGCCAGAGCCCAGACTTGAACCCGAAGGAATATCTCTGGAGAGATCTGAAAATAGCTGTGCACCTACAGTATGCTCCCCATTCAACCTGATGGAGCTTGAGAGGTACTGCAAAGAAGAATGGGAGAAGCTGCCCAAAAATAGGTGTGCCAAGCTGGTAGCATCATACTCAAAATGACTTGATGCTGTAATTGGTGCAAAAGGTGCTTCAACAAAGTATTGAGCAAAGGCTGTGAATACTTATGTACATGTGTTTATTTTCGTTTTTTATTTTTAATAAATTGCAAAGATTTCAAAACGAACTTCTTTCATGTTGTCATTATGGGGTATTGTTTGTAGAATGTTGAGGGAAAAAAAGGATTTAATCCATTTTGGAATAAGGTTGTAACATAACAAAATGTGGTAAAAGTTAAGCGCTGTGAATACTTTCTGGATGCACTGTACATGCCCCATACCCACCCACATGCCTCAAAATAGAAAGGAATACAAATACAGTGTAAAAAAACTGTAAAACTATGTTACATACCAAACAGGTGGTTGTAACGGCCCAGTTGAAATATCGACTGCTCAGTTAAGCCTATGAGCAATGCGCAGGGGAGTGTTTCTTCACGGTTACGTGATAGTTTATGTTTTTTGGGTTTATTTTTGAGGTATGCAAAGAGAAATTACACAAACACTTGCAGGTAAAGTCAAACTGTATATAACATGTATTTAAATAATGAAAGATAAAGATAACAAATGTAATATTGGAAATATATAACAAGAAACGTAGCTATAAATTCCTTTCACCAAGTAGTCCCACCCGTTTTTCCTTAGCAGATGATCAATCCAGATGCATGCCTGTAGCAGCCCTGTTGAGAGACTAACTTATTTCAGTTTTGGCTGTGGTATATAAATAAATAATTGGTAGTAATGACCAATCATAACCCTTGGAAAGTAATATTATCTTCTAAGGATGATAGTATACATTCCTGAGTCGGCTTTGTCAGTTTGTCAGTTACATATAGTTACATAGTTGGTTGTGTTGAATAAAGACACCAGTCCATCCATTTCAACCTATGTAGGTGTGTGTGTGCTCATGTCTAAATGTCATATCCCATATCCCTGTATATTGTATTCGCTAAGATGCCCATCTATGAGTTTTTTTCAAACTATCAATACTTCCTGCTGACACCACCGAATGTGGAAATGAGTTCCTTACCGCTTACATCCTTACTGCTCTGACAGTGAGAAAAACAATATGCAGTTTAAGGTTAAACCACTTCTCCTCCAATTTCATTAAGTGGCCCTGTGTCTTCTTATACTCCCTGGTACTGAATAGTTTATTCTTTATGCTAGAATCACCATTGAGGTATTTATATATTGCTATCATTTCTCCTCTCAAGCATTTCTTTTCCAGGGAGAATAAGTTTAATGTTTATTGCAATGACATTCCTGTAGTATTAGGTCAGTTAAGGTAAAAAACATCCCTATATAGTCCCTTAACCAGGCTTGGGATGCATTCTTATTAGTGAGCCATAACTATGGAAACATTACAATTTCTCCATCAGGGAGTAATATTGCATCGTAATACACAGATCTCTATCTTGTTCATTGGCAGCTTAAGTATTCACTTGTTTTTGTTGAATGATATTCTAAAAAGTGCTATGATCCTTTATTCATCATCCAAACACTTCAGGTTGTCTGGACTCCTGCAGATGAATCCAAGGTCATATCATCATAACAGATGCCACTGGGTTTCTTCCTATCATGCCTTCTTTTGATGACTGGTATCTTTTTTTTTTCTTCTACTTCCAGAATCATGAAGATAAAGAGTGGAAGTTTGCCAGGGCCAAGCTGTGGCTCAGCTATTTTGATGACAAATGCACTCTTCCTCCACCTTTCAACATTATTCCTTCTCCCAAGACTATTTGTTATTTGTTCAACAGCCTGAGCAAGTGGATCTGCTCTCATACTCCATCGGGAAGAGTCAAACGGCAGAACAGCCTCAAGGTAAGGCATTTCATAGTAATCTCTTTCTAAACAGTCCCAGACAGGATAATATTCATGTAATCTGGCAAATCCAAACTAACACAGCAGGGATTGTAGAAGTATGTAGTATGGGCTTGCATTGGGAAGGGATGTTTAATACAGCTTTGTTCAATGTTGTAGTAATGTGCGACGTAAGTAAAAATGTAACAGTAGTCAGAGTTGTATGCATTAAAAGAAACCTCTCTTACATAACCAATCTGATGTTACTGATCCACATAGCCCATTTGGTTTTTCAATATGCCAGATATGCAATCCACTGAACTGCAAGTCAAATCTTTTTTGGGGTGCTAGAAAATAATCCCAATATTTGACACTGACTCTCCTCTCCAGTTGGGGAGAAAAAAGCAGCCCTGACAAAGAACAGCTGCCAATAGTTATATACCTTCCTAACCAGGGACGGACCGACCATTTGGAAACTCAGGCACTGCCCGAGGGCCCAGGGTCAGTAGGGGGCCCCATGAGATGCCCCTGGTACCTTTTTCATAGGCTTTTTTGAGTTTGGGCAAGGACACAGGGGCCCCATGATCCCCTATTGCCCGGGGGCCCCATGAGTTGTCAGTCCGCCCCTGTTCCTAACTGCCAAGCACAATGGAATTTATAATAAAAAAACAAAACTTTATTTTCACTTTGTATGGGGGGGGAGGAACAACACCTGTCGTCAGTTTTTTTTGTGATCTATGTCCCATTGCAGAGATTTCCCTTCACTTCCTGTCCCATAGTCAAAACTGCAAGTAGGAGGACATCTCTACAAAAGTTGGGAGTCCCTAGTTGTCACCTGAACTAGTGTTCTCATTGCAAAATTTCTCCACTGTCCCTTCTCTGATGACAACCTAAATTTGGTACTTTCTTCTACTTTCACTTTTAGTGGTAAACATCATAGGCAGGGCCGCTGTTAGATATCATGGGGCCCCCGTACAGCCTACCTGACAGCCCCCCCCCCCCCCCCAACGGCCAGCGAAAATATCAAAATTATATTTATGGTAAAAATACACTAAAAACTTTATCAATATACACAATCCCAACAAAATTCCTGAGAAGTGATAAATCTGAACTGAGTTAATAAAAAAAGCTGTGTGTGTAATTGAGGTCTTGGGGCTCATTCACATGGGTGCTGTGGCCTGTAGAGTGAGAATCAGTGGTTTGTTTATGTGGCTGGAGCTTCTTGGTGCTGTTTGCAGGCATCCTATGTTAACCTCTTCACGCCGGCCAAACGCAAATATGCAGCCTCCCGGCATCTGGGCCTAGATGCTGAGCAGCCACACATTTGCGTTCTATTAAAAAAGAACATACTGCATGTGCTGAGAGCGCGCGCCCTGCGCGCTCCAAGCACACTTGTCTGGTACTCATGGAAAGTTCCCGATCTCCCCCTTTCGATCAGAACCTTTCCCGATCATGTGACCAACGTGATGGTGTGTCACAGCGGTCACATGACCCTAAACCCTGCTCCGCCTCCCGGCTTCTGAAACCCTTAAAGGGCCGGGAGGCGCCGGCACAAAGGGGTTAAACTATGGAGACGCTGAAGGTCCAAATATTAAAGGTATATGGGTTTGGGTGTACAGCCGTGAACTCAGACAGTGAGCATTCAGGGCCACTTCTCCACGCCTTCACACCTGTGACATTAAAACTTGTGTTCATACAGCTGCTGTGTCCCCATAGTGTAAGAGGTGGCTTCAGCTACATGAACAACCCCCTCATTCATGCTGTACAGGCCAGAGGACCTGTGTTAATGGGTCATTTTTGAAAAAAATTTTTCATCAGCCCATTAATTTCAATGGGCTGCCTACGCATGTGGGAACATGCAAAAATACTGCAGGCATATTATTTTAAAAGTGTGTTGCACCTAATCGCACAGTAGTGTGGTACCATGCGTTTTGGTGGCTGTGAATGCGTCTGTGTTTACTAGATGTGTTTAGATGCAATTAAGTATTCATGGTACCTGCGCACATCTGCAGAGGGCACTGCATTTCTTTGCTGTGCAGGAAAATGAATGAGTTTCTGCACCACAAATGGTGTGAACAAGTCCTGAGGGCCAGTTCACACTATAAAAACGCAGTCTTGATGTGTTCCAGATGCATTTTTGCATGCACGTTTTTGACGCATTTTTAGCGTGTTCAGGTGCGTTTTTGATGTGTTTTTTATGCATTCCAGTTCATTTTTTCCCCTCTCTTTTTCTTCAATTTATTTAGGGACATGTGCATTATAGTGCTTTTTTGGTGCGTTCTGGTTTGTTACTGATGCGTTTTATCGCGTTCCAGTACAGTTCTGTGCAGAAAAAATGCAGCCTGTTCTACTTTTTTTTTCCGCAACCGGAATGCACTGGAACTACAAGCACTGATGTGAACTATGACATTGACAACCATATAACCTACTTTCTGTGGGTTTTGGATGCAGAAAAAACTGCAACTGAAATGCATGTAGTGTGAATTGGCCCTAAAGGTTATTATAGGTAAGGGAAGGGGACTGACCAGGAATTGTGAATGCAATCAGACTAGTGGTGAGATACAAATAGGAATCTTATAATAATGCTAGATCTGAGCTGTAGGTGATAGAAAATGGGACACATTAACTAGATCAGTAAATAAATAGTTAAATAAAAAGAGTTGAGCAGTGATATATAGGTTTACAGAGGGAACAGGTGATGATGGACTTGGGGGGGGGGGGGGGGGTGGAGGGGGTCAAGTTGTATAAGAAAAGAGAGGTTTAGCAGCAGTGAGCAGAAAGGGATCAGCAGTCTGGGGGAGAGGAGAGAAACAAAGTTGCAATTAAATGTAAACTGAAGGAAACTTGAAAGTGTCAAACTTGTGGAGCAGAGCAGGAGCGTATTAACTCTCTGTTTTCTTCAGAGTGGTAGTCTTTAAGGGGTTGAAATAATTGTGGCAATGAAGAAAACACATAAGAACCATTTACTACCTCTAAACATCACAAAAACTGAGCCGCTGTGTGATAGAATGACAAGAGGCTAACAGTGGAATTTAGCAGCTGTAGATGAACTTGTCAGCTGCCCGGGCCCCTCTCTGCAGTTGATGGGGCCGGGCCCCCTACAGGAGGGCCGGGGGTACCCCCTTATCAGCGGCCCTGATGACAGGACAAATAGAAAGATTGCATCTGCCTAACCAGGACACAGACAGCAATAAAAACCTCACAGATGTTCTAATCCCTCTCCAATATATCCAAAACAAAAAAAAGAAAAGTTTTGCTTTTATTTATACTTTAGGTATGTACTGGCACCACTGCCACCTCAGTACCTTTGTTTCCCTTAATGGTGATTTTCTGTAGTAAATGATTTATACAAACATGGACCAAGGCTGAGCAGTCTGCATAAGCTTACAGTGGCCCACAAATCCTCTCCGGCAGACCAGTTTTTTGCCAAATGCAAGAATTGAAAATGTTCCAGTCTAGGTCTGTTTAAACAAAAACAGTGGAACACATATTTGTATGTAGGGACCCTGCCTTAAACTGACGTGCCCCCATTCCAAATTTAGTGTTACAGCTAGGCCGTAGTAAGCCTGAGTTCAAATTGATGTTTTTTTTTCTGTTATCATTGGGTTTTCCCTAATTTCAATAATTGTTTGTTTCTGCCTGCTGGAAGAGAGTGTCGCTTGTATACAGAACACGAAGAAACAAAGTTACTGAGCTGTGAATACTTATTCCTCTGTGGCGAATCACTAGGAGGCTTATTGCCAGTGGTTCATGCTGGAGAAGAATATAAATATGTAGGATGACCTTGTAGAAGGGTCCTTGTGTCCTGGGCTGTTGGACGCAGGAGAGGAGGCTCTATTGGAGGTCTTTTGCTCAGAGAGGAAGCTGCTGAAAGAGGGGCCTAAGCATAGGGGATTTTTGCTGCCTTGCATCCAGAAGGAGTGGAGCAGGAAGATGGCTACCTGTAAGGACCTCTAGCTGCTCATCCCAAGAGGTGCCTGAGCTACCTTGTTGTGTTTAATAGCTTATCAAGACAGATTGCTGATCTTGGCATAATGTTCCATAGCCTGCATTCACTGCTGCTAGAAGAGACGTCTGCAGTCATTTTTGCCTATTTCCGGGTATCCTGTGCCCTTTCTCTCCCTGAATTTATTGTGCTGTAATAAACTCTTTAAAAAAGTATCTATTTAACACGTTTTACTTCATGAATGAACCTTAATATTAAAATGATACTACTGCTACTTTTAACAACCAAAACAATTCAGCAGACCAGTAAAGTGATGGTAACTTGCATACATGAACTTTTGTAAAAGGTATGTGAAAATGGTACATAGAATAGTTCCCTGTAATAATCATAGCTGTATACTTACCAGCCAAATAAAATAAGTGTTAACTTTTTTTTTAAATAAAGCATTTCTGAAAAAATAGCTAATTCTTTATGTAAACATATGAACTTTCATGTCAAATTTATTTTTCTTGTGCTAAGGGAATTCTACTATCAGTTTTATCATTTGCTTGTTTTTCTCTAATATATGTTATTATACAAAACACCCCCTGTTAGCCTACATTTTTTCTTCTATGGATACTAAATTTAGCCAAGTGCCAAGTCAATTCACTGAGCTCCTTTATGACATAAATAGAGGTGTTTGTGCCTGAAGGTGTGATAGTACTTTGAAAATATGTGGAGCTGTCATACACACTTCTTTCTTGGGCTCCTCCTGGGAACAAATGTTATTTTTAGAATGGGAATTCCCGTTTCTTTGCATTTGTTGTTATTTTTTTTTTGATCTTAAACTGATTTCCCAAAAACATGGTGTGCTGCTAAAATCAATGGCAAAATCAGTAAACCTGCAGTTAAAGTGATAACTTCTAGTGGTTAACTAAAGGTTTAAAATGAAAGTCCTGATCATTCCTAGATTTGTTCACTAGGCATAGTGAAAAAAATCTAACACACTTGATAAATAAAACATGTCCACCTGGCACAGTGGATTTTAAAGTCGACTTTTGCCAAGCCAGAGTGTGCTTGCAGGACCACCCACAGCTCAAATTTCTGCCAAAATTGTTTACTGATCCTGAAGGAAGCCATCGCATATTCCCTGGATCAACTACCCCTGGTGTTATTACTTATAAATGTTATATGTGCATTTAGGAGTGCATCCAGATCTTTTTTAAACAATCTAATGAGCTGGCCAGAACTAATTTTTGAGCGATTCTATTCGAAATTGTCATGTTTCTGACTCTTACGTATGTGGAGGTTAAATCTCTTTTCCTCCAAATGCAAAGAGTGCCGACTTGTCCTCTGTAATGACCCGAAAGTGAATAAATCAACAGTAACTTCATTAAATGGACCACCTATGTATTTATAGTGGCCATTTAGCTAATCTTTCCTCATAGCTGAGCTCCTCCATGCCTCTTATCAGTATGGTTGCCCCTCTATCCATGTTTAAGTTCTTCGATATCCTTTTTGTGAACAGACGCCCTAAACCAAGCTGCATATTTCACATGAGGTCTTACTAATGATTTGTAAAGGGGCAAAATTGTCTCTCTGGAGACTTACGTCTTTTAATGCAAGAAAGTATTTTGCTGGCTCTCGCAACTGCAACTTGGCAGTGCATGCAAGTATTAAGTCTATGATCTACCAGAACATCCAGATCTTTCTCAACCATTGATTCCCTCAGTTGTTCGCCTCCTACAATGTATGATGCATGCATGCTTTTAGCCCCAAAGTGCATAGCTTTACAATTATCAACATTTAACCTCATTTGCCACATAGTTGCCCAATTAAATAGTGCATTGAGGTCAGCTAGTAAGTTGGGGACATCCTTTACGGACATTACTCCACTACATAACCTGGTGTCATCTGCAAACACCGAAATAGTACCTTTAATCCCAAACTCGATATTATGTAAAATATGTTAAAAAGTCAGGCTCCCAACACTGAACGTTGGGCTACACCACTAATAATCTCAGACCATTCTGAGTATGAATAATTGATCATTACTCTCTGAATATGGTCTTTTAGCTAGTTTTCTATCCATTACAAACTGAAGTTTCTAAGCCTGTGGACTTCCAAAATCCAAGTATACTACATCCACAGCCACTCCTTTGTCTAAGTTTTTGAATACCTCATAAAAATAAGTCAGAATTATTTGACACCTTCAGTCTTTTGTGAAGCCATGGTGACTATTGCTTAAAATATTTTTTAGCAAAAACTCTTCTTTTATTAAACTCTCCAGTATTTTCCCAACTATAGAAGTTAAACTAACTGGTTTGAGGTTAATTGGTAAAGACTTTGATCCCTTTTTAAATATAGGTACCAATCCAATGGTACTATGCCAGTCGTTAAAAAAAATTAGAAACAATGGCATAGAAATAGTATAGCTCAACCTTTTAAGCACCCATGGGTGTAAGCCATCTGGTCCAGGTGCTTATGTGCCTTTATTTTGTTTAAGTGTTTCTGGACCATATCAGTTTGGAGCCATTGTGGATCATTTGGGGCTTCAATTCCCAATATGGACTTGATCTCTCCCATTTTCCTTTGTATGCACAAAGCTGAAGAGGACATTTAATACATTTGCCTTCTCTTTGTCACCAACTCAAAATTATCTTGAAAAGGGCATACACACTCAGATTTGACATTTTTAAAATTAATATATTCAAAGAATTTTGATGGCTTTGTCCTATTCTCATTTGCAACCTTCATTGCGAATCTTTGCGGCCTTGATTTTTGTTTTACATATTCTGTTATATTCCTTGTAAGTTTTAAATGATGATAATGTTCCTTCATTTTTATATTTTTAAATGCTCTTTTCTTATTATTTATAGCTATTTTAACTTTGGACGTGAGCCACATAGATTTTATTTTTAGTGTTTCGATCTTATTGCCCATCGGAAAGTATTTTACAGTGTGTTTACATAAAATCAGTTTGAAGCATTCCCATTTTTGTTCTGTGTTCTTTAATGACAACATACCCACCCAGTCTAAATCTTGGAGAGCAGCCCTCAACCTTTGAAAATTTGCACTCCTAAAATTGAGTGTTTTTATCTTTCAAGTACCTGCTTGTTATTTACAGATAACGACAAATGAAATCATGTTATTGTCTCTGCTACCCAGGGTTTTTTTTTTTTTTTGAACATTAGTAATATGCTTCACAATGTTTGAGATGAACAAGTCCAGCAGCATCATTTCTAGTTGTGCGGCTTTGCCAAAAATTGTCTTTTAATTGGTTTATACATTTCAGCCCTTTTACCAGTAGTACAATTATTCCTGTGAAGCTCAGGGTAGTTAAAATCCCCCATTATTGTAACTGTTCCAGCCCTTGCAGCCCTTTCTATCTGTGTGATGATTACAAAACCTTAATGCTCTGGTATCACTACATGGGTTCTGTCTCAGATAAAGTGTGCCTGTGATAAACTGGAAAGCAAAAAGTAAACAGGATGGGCAAGAACAGCTAAAACTAAGGAATGCACCCTAGTGGAACACTTCTATACAGTAAGTACCATGTTGCTAAGGAAGAAGGACTTTAAAGCCCAGGTAAACTGTCAGTTTAAATCTGCTAAATACATTTTAGGTGCATCTGAACAAAAAAGTTCAATGTCTTTCAGTTTGTTTTCTTTTTTTAATCTGCTACAGCCTGAGGAAAAAAATCATGTGCCCTGCCAGCAGATGCATAATGGGACCCCTTTCCCCCTGTATGGAAGCAGTAGACTCTCTGCAAAGGTCCAGTATGTACCATACTGACTCAGACCTATAGCACTGGAATCAGCAAAACTCATGCTCCCTGCTGATTGCAGAGCACTGGCTCTGACTCACCAGGGAGTGTGTCTGACCTCTGCAGAGAGACCATTACTTTACTCTGAAGCATGCTGGCAGGGGGTTTCTAATTTGGTTGTAGCTGCTTTAATATGAAAACAAACTGTTAGACTTTGAACATATTTTGTTTTGGTGATCCTGGAAATATATTTAGCTTGCTCTGAGGGCACTTATGCGTTCTTGCTCCTGAGTTCATAGGACATGCAGAAAGGGGTTCAACCCCTCCCCCACTTCCTACTCACTGGCTGTGATTGAGAGCAGTGGAAACCAATGGCTCCCACTGCTCTCTGTGAGAAAATCAGGAGGAAGAGAGCCAGAACAGCAGCCGCTCTGGTGTACATCATTAATATTCAGACTTCATAAAGTGCCAACAATTTGCACAGCACTTTACAACATGAGAGCAGACAATACAGTTTGGGGGATGAGCTGATGGAGAAAGCGGAAATAAAGTTGTTAGGTGGAGGCGGAACAGGCTTCTCTGAAGAGAAGGGTTTCCAGGGATCACCTAAAAGTGGACAAAGTAAGAGATAGCCAGACAGGTTGGGGTAGGGAGTTCCATAGTATGGGAGATGCTTGGGAAAAGTCCTGAATATGAGCATGGGAGGAGGTAACAAGGAAGCTAGAGAGTAGGAGGTCTTGGGAGGAATGAAGAGAATGATTTGGTTGGTTTTTGAGACTATCGCACTTTACAACCAGTATAAGCTGAAAGTGTTGAGCTTCTGTAAATAAATATTACTAGCCTTAATGAAAAAGGTAGAGGCCAAATGGATTGAAACTTTGAAAACTTTGGTTCTCAGTGGCCTAAGATATGATTTCAGACATGTTCTGAACAAAAAAATTAAGAAATTGATGCAGCCCCTGTAGTCTCGGTTACATAACACAAGATGGAAAAACACATACTGGTAGGATAAGTACTGTACTTACTAATCCCTTGCACAGCAGTGAATGAGGTTCTATTGTATTGCACAGCAGTATGGTCTAGCACAGGGGCAGACTGACCATTTGTTAACTCGGGCACTGCCCGAGGGCCCGGGTCAGTAGGGGGCCCCATGAGATGCCCCTGATACCTTTTTCATAGGCTTTTTTGAGTTTGGGCAAGGACACAGGAGCCCCATGATCCCCTATTGCCCGGGGGCCCCATGAGTTGTCAGGGGGCGCCCCTGGTCTAGCATGTTTTCAGGCACTGGAGGATGGAAGGAGAGATGTTTAGACTGCCCACAGGAGTAGGAGGCTGCAGGGAGGCTGGAGCAATCTGATTCTACTCTTTCACAGCATAATGAGCACACAGGTGACACATGAAGGTACAATGTCTTAAAGCTGTCAAGTGGTGTCACCATCCTTTTTTTTAGTGTGGTAGGAGTGTGTGAATCACAAGAATTAATGTACACAATTACATTTTAGTTTCATTTTTATATGGAGCTCCACTTTATTACTTATTCAGTTACCTATATTCTAGTTCTTAAGCATATGCATACTGTATTATGTTCTGATGGGATGGTCATACAAAGTGCTGTCACATAACTTGCTAATGCTGTTGATAGATTCCCAGCTGGCTGGGCTCAATGTCACCAGCTAATTGGGCTGTTAAGTTGGCATAACATGATAGCATACATGCTAATTAGGACATGTATGTGATGAATGGCCTGATAACTCTTTTCATCCTGGAGCATGGCTGCAGTACATAACCTAGCAAGTATAAGTCATGTATGTGTTTGTAAACTGTGAGCCTATGAACACAGGTGGTAGAGAAAATCAGATAAGAGCAACTGTGTAAGAGCATCTGCAGTATAAATGAATCATCCAGCAAACCCACAATGTACGCCCTCTTACAGTCCAGGCTTATGCTGCAGCTCCATACAAATGCCAGATGATGCTCTTTAACTCATTCTACTTAATTTTTCAGCATGTTATTGATACAGGCTTATTTTTTTTTTTTTCTGAGGATAACTCAGTGGCTCCCACTGGCTTCTGTGATCACAGGCATCTCATTCTGCTCCATTGGTTTCTAGCTGCTCCATCTATCTAGCAACTGTCTGTACTGGTTCTGACCTACACTGTGAAAATTTGACAATTGTCACCATATAACCAACAGTGATTTTTCATCCTGTTCAGCCAGCCTTGTGGTCCAGACATCCCTGCCAGAGAAAAAAACAGGTCGTCAACCTTTATTTCATTAGCAGCACAGTTGGCTAATTGGACTAGTCCTATGTTCATTGTTGGCACATATGCACTCTTCCAGTCTGAGTGCTGCTATGGGGGAGATTGCAAAATTACAAATCCCTTGGCAGTTGAAACAATTCCTGTATATGGATATCATCTGTGTATTTAGCTCTTTACCAGAAATTTAGTTTTAACTGCATTAGCAACCAGTTACTGCAGATGCAGTGATAGAGGCCCATGAATATAAACCCTAAGGGCTCGTTCACACTTGACTAATTTCTAACGCTTGCCAAAACGCCCCTGTAGTGTTTGACAGGTGTTAGACAGGCATTTGGGAAGCATTTTTACCTCTCCTCAAATGCTCCCCAAATGCTCCCCAAACGCCCTATGAGCATTTTGAGGCATTTGATAGGCATTTGCCAAGTGTTAAAATCACATCACAAATGCCTACAATGAAGTTTAATGGTATTAACACTCCGCAAACGCCTTGCAACCGCCTCGCAAACCCCCCTCAAATGCCTGCTAGGCATTTGAGGAGCGTCACCATAGACTTGAATGGGAGGCTTCAACTCTCCTGACTGGACATGAGGCGTCAATTTTGCCACAACGCTAACGCTTCAGTGTGAACAGCACTGTGTGCTGCCATGTGTATAATTTTCATAGGCATTTGAGGAGCCTTAAAAACGCTTCCCAAATGCCTGTCTAACGCCTGCTAACGAAGCTAGTGTGAACTTAGCCTAAGAATGATGTTTGACTATGGTGGCTCTTTTTGCTGTTGCAGGAATGGAAAAGTCTCAGGCAGAAGAGAGATGAGAACTATCAGAAGGTCATGTGCTGCTTGGTGCATCGTTACTTGACTTCAATGAGGCAGAAGATGCAAAGCACTGACCAGGCCACAGTGGAAAACTTAAATGAACTCCGTCAGGATCTGTCCAAATTCCGCAATGAGATGAGAGACCTACTTGGATTCCGGACCTCAAAATATGCAATGTTTTATCCGAGGAACTAGAAAATCAACACAACACTGACCTTCTGTTCAGGAGATGTCTTCTTGCACTTGTTTGTGTCTCACACTTAAGTATTTATTTACATGTAAACCATGTATGATTCATTATAGTTCAATATTACACCTTGAGTTTGACATTCATTATTCTATTGTAAAATGGTATTTTATATTCATATATGCACAGTGCAGGTATGCTTCCTGGTACATTTTTTTTATAACTGCTTTGAACTATTATAAATAATTTCAAACGCGATCACTTGATTGTGGCTAAAGGTCAGGATCTTTCACAGGTCATGTGAAAGAATACCCTTGATTTACTGTATATAAAGCCACTGTTTATACATGCAGCTAATAAAATTGTAATGATCTGTTCATCAATATTCAAAGCCACAGTCGGAATTATTAAAGAGAGTTTATTAAAATCTGAGTGAAAATAGGAAATAATTCAATAGTAAATTATAATTTACTATTTCTAATCTGCTGTTTAGAAAATAAAATCTGATTAGCTATAACAATTTACAGCACATTTTTTCCTTTGGCCTGTGCTCAGAGTTTATGAAATATCCCTATATTTGTGTTTCCGATTTGGACTGTGACATTATGGGTCCGAATCATCAAGCTGCAACAGCACTATCATATACTGCTAGTCACAAATGGGTTTATCGAAGGCCCTTAAAGCATAACTGAAGGCAAACTTTTTTTTTTTAGTTTTGGAAAAAGTGAAGAGGGATTAGAGCAATTGTCAGGTTTTTATTGCTGTCTGTGTTTCCGGTTAGGGAGATTCACCTTCTCTGTTGTGCTGGTTTGTGTTATCACTAAAAGTGATCCTCATTACAAAAGTTTTTTTTTTACCTTAAAGTGGTTGTAAATTTCATACATGAAATATCAACAAAGCATATCCCTCTACAGTGTGTACTTGTCTCAATCCAGAGCACTAAGTGTCATTTCTGTCTGCTGCCTCATTCCTCTGCTATCAGCATGAGTGAATTCTGATGAGTTTTTCTGAACCAAGAAAAAAATAGTGACAGGGAGAGAACAGTCTGATTGACAAGCCTCAGCTCTGTTCCTGTGTGCTGTGTGAAGAGAGATGTGTACCTTCCCTCCAATCAGCTCTCAGAGTTCTCCGCCCCCTGTTTTTCAAAGCTGAAAGAGCCTATGTAAATTCTGCACTTTGAATGGATGTAGGGGACAGACTGCAGTTGACAGGTACAACTTATGTAGGAGGATTTGTTTCATTTCTGTTTATCACCCGAAGCCAGTCACTTCAATGGGTATAGGTAAGGGTTTACAACCACTTTAATGCAGAGAATTCATTATTGTAAAGAACCTTAAGCCTTTAGGACCACTTTAAGGCTTAATGAAGTATGATGTCCCCTAACAGCAGCCGGAATGGTGTCCTTTTGGTTCTGATTATTAGCTCCAAAAGTAAGCCTTAGACAATCTAAGTAAAGCAAAATATTGGGATAAATATGCATATTTTGCTAAGAAGCTTTCAGAATTATAATAATTTCAAACTAGATGTTCTCATTATTGCATAAGCTTTGGCTTGGTTGGCTCTCTTTAACACATGCAATAGCTATTCCCACCAAAATGTTGTTTATAGTTAAGCACATAAAAACTAGTCTAGCAAATTACGACATGTTTGGCATTTCATCGAAGACCTTTTTCACATTAAGGCAGTGAAAGCCACATATTAAAACTAACATGATTTTTGGTTCTCTCCTGGGACAATAGAAAGCATCCTTCTAAGGGCAATTTTCATTGCTTTTTGTGGAAACCCATGCAAAATCATGCATGAGGGAGTTGTTTCTGTTGTTTTCACTGTTTTCCGCACATTTTTACATAAAATCAGAATGAATGGGCCCAAAATAAAGCCATTCCATTTCATTTTTTTAATTGTATGCTTTGTAAATATGAACACAAAGTGTTATTAGACTTGTAGACACAATATTTCCTGAGTACAACATTTATCTGAGTACTAGATTGATTCTCAAGAGAGGCACAGAAGAGCAAGAAGGCTCCACCATAAATACTACCTGATGCTGTGGCATGCATTCAGCTTGGTGTGGTATAGTAAAGTAAATACCTTCCTGCGCATGGAAGGTACTGGGCCCATAGGATTATATGGAAACCCTGACGCCTCGACATAGGGAGATACAGGTTAGGGGGGTCAGAACATTTTCATCGGCTGGGACTTTAGTATTTCAACAGCAGAACTGGAACGCATTGGTCAATAATATTCATACACTAAACAGAGTTGAGGCCCATCCCCTGCTGCAAAAGTCCTAGTATACCCATAAGCAATGACGTACATAATCTGAATATTTCAGTGACCACGAGCAATCCAAAGATCAGCACATCACTTTGTACCCTCCCCCCACTAAAAGTATTTTATATATTCGAGGTAAACAGACTCTATGGGGTTGATTTGCTAAAGGTATATATACTGATCACATTGCAAGGGAAGTTACACTTTGCATGGGAATTTGTCCCAGAGTTCAGTGAATGAGGTGAAGATCTGCTGACTTCCATCATTCAATTATGTGTAAGCAAAAATGCTGTGTTTTTTTTCATTTTACTTGAGCATGATTGGGTATTTTTTGCATAGTGAAACTTGACCCCATTCACTAACCTCTGGTGCAAATTCCCTTGCAAAGTGAACAGCCCATTTAACTTTAGTAAATCAACACTAATGGTTCTGGCTCTTTTTGCTGTTTAAAATCTCTGATTAATAAAATCTCTAATGCAATGTGCCGATCTTTCCCTGGATTACTAGCACATTACTTTCCCCTTGCTTGTTCTATGCGCATAGTGAAGTTTTTCTTTGAAGTTTTGTTTTTCTCTTTACAAAATATTAACGTTTCCCTGTCTGCCACATTCATATGGAAGGCTGATTTTGTTTTCAAATTCCTTAAATCGCAAATGGAAAATCTACAGCTGAAATAACATTTACTGATTAAGATAAATACAGTGATTAATGTAAAATCAGATAAAAAAATTATACAAACAATTGAACCCTGAATATTTTGTGTCTTCATCATGTAAATTATGTAAATACAGAGCTTGCTCTATGTTTGTATTGTATATTAAGGAAATGAAGTATTACAGAAATGAGTACCATTAATAAAACAAAGCATTGTGTGTTTAGAATTGTCAGCATGTGATGTATAGAGATCCCTGCATATTTTATGATGTATGATTTAAAGAGAAAACATATGGAACTTCAACTTCTCTCTACTTCATATTACAGGTCACGACTTGAGAGAGGTTACTGTAAACAATGAAATGTTCATAATGGATGTTAGAAAAAGAAGGAATTTCAGGACAGATAGAAACCAAATGGCCACTATGCATAGAAAATATTGGTTACATTTTATTTGATATGTAATTAAGTATTGTAATATTATTTTGGATAGAATGATTCTTACACAATCTAAAAATGATGTGTTAAAATGTGATTTTTGACCATAGGCTTGCTATACAAAATGTGTGCATAAGTCTTTGAGTATGGTAAGAGACTCCTGAGATTGGGGCAAATAAATTACAATTAGTCAAATTCAAATGTATAGCCTGGCCTGCAACGGTGGAAGATATATTTATAATTTTCGGCCAGTACAACGGGTGACAAGTTTAAGGGACGTTTCTCTAATAGAGATAGACCTGGTGCATTCACATACATTTTCAAATATGGTGTCCCAATCCTGCTCCGAAAGCTGCTGATTACAATCCTCTTCCTATTTCAACAGTTAGGAGAGTTTGATCGTGGTATAGGAGGATAAATTATGTTTGTATAGCTGGCAAATTAAGCCCTTTCCTCCAGGTGTTTTTATTTTGCATTGTTGCTCTTACAATGCGGGAGAAAAAGGAGAGGAGCAAAAAAAGTGGTGGCAAAAAAAAAAAAGTCTAATCTGAAGATAGCGGAAGTATTCCTGCATAGGGGCCTATCTGAGTTATTGAAACTGTGAGAAGGAAATAAAATCCAAATCACCCCGCAAGGCTTTAAGATATAAACCTTTTTTATAAAACTAACTCCACTGCACTTCTAGATGTAAGAAGCTTGAAAAAGTACCCTTTTATTAACAAAAGGAATCTGAGCTGAATTCTACTGTACATAATGCAAAATATTGAAAACATAATGAAAATTATCAAAGTGGGGACATATTAAAAAGACTATGGTCAACTTTGGATGTGTCATTTAGGCTGGCAGTTGAGACATTGGCCCATCCTTGAATAAGCCACTGGGACCTGCCACTATCTCTCATTACTATTGTTTTCATGTTAGTATGCCTTCATTACTTTATTAGCCTAAGTGCTAATCACGCTATTTAACCTAAATAAAGAGCTATTGCAGCCTAAACATGGTCTACCTATAATATGAAGTATACCCAACAGTGGAGATATTAAGTGGTAAAATCATGTGTATAAATTACATAGGGCATAACCAAAATTGCATGGTATCCTCAACGCTGTGCCACCTAATGGAAAAGCATACATTGACCCCATTTTAACTGCGAAACTATCCCATCATGCCCATGCACAATAACTGTAATGAACTGCTTAGCAGGAGAGCAAGAACCATCTGGCCAAAGAAAGCTGCTTTTACCAAGTTGGGACTGGGTGGAACATGGCATGCAGAGAGAGCTTTGGTTTGACTGTAAAAGTCAATAGAAGTAGCTAGGCAGGGGGTATCCCAAATACAAGCTGGCTATAGAAGTATAGTTCATAAACTAATCTTAGGACCAAAGCCAGGAGGTCTGTCCAGAGCAAGAATCTAGAGGAAGGTACTAGAACTGGGAGGCAGTAACAGGACTGGAGCCAAATGGGTTAAACTGATGCAGAGGACAAGAGCAAAGAGGTTGTAGGGAGGTTGCCTACAAGGGGAATGTTTTCAGTTAGAAAGTGAAAGGGGATGTACAGGCTGGGAAGGGGTTAAACCTGTCTCTGCAGTTTCCCAGTCTTTTCTGGGCTTTGCATTCTCCCCTGTGCTAAAATAAAAAGGGGGA